AGTGAGAAGAGCATCCTGGATGAACCAGACTCTCCTCTAGAGGTGAGCCACTTGACATATTGATCTTCACATTGTATTATGTAAGTGCTTTTTCATTGGTCTTATCAACGAGTGGATGCCGTTTGGTCTCATATGTGTCCATTAACTCATTAGCATTTGGATAACAACTACTCGACATTTCATGTGACTGGAGGCTAAATGTCCTTTTTGAATTGCTGATTAATTCATTATGGAGCTCAGTGTTGAATTTAAATGCGAGTATTAATGTCATCGATCACCAGAATTGTTTTAGATATGGTTTTAGATATTCAAGGCTGTATAGCAATTAGTCAAATGCAGATCCAGGTATTATAATGTTGCCGTTGTAATTATTTTACACCAGATTTATTGTCAAGTTATTTGATTCTTCCATTGTTCATGATATTCGTGCTTTGGACAGTAAGCGACGCTGTTGGTCAGTGAAACAAGTGTTCAGAATTGATTCCGCGGAGGCAGAGCCCTCATTTTCCCGTTTAGACAGGGGAGGAGACAATCTGTGTTTAACAAGCAGGACTACGACCACAATTTCATTCGAAGCGAGGACTTTGAAACCAAAGGATTACTTGATTCAACTGGCTTTGTTTTCTCTGGATTGTATACAGCAGGTGTTTGCTGTCACATATTATTATTTGTGTAATGGCGTTTGGAAAATCTCCTTTCGAAAAAGGGCGTTTGAATTGCAGGTCAGTGTGGCCGTTTCTGCTGTTCTTTTGGTGTCTCAGTCACATCGTGTCCGGCCAAATCAGATATACAATTCCAGAGGAACTGAAAAAGGGGTCAGTTATCGGTAACGTGGCTCAAGACCTTGGTTTGGATGTGCAAAGGCTTCGTTCTGGCCGTGCCCGTATCGTGACAAGACAAAGCATCCAGTACACCGAGCTGAAAACAGACAAAGGCGTTTTAGTCGTGAACGAGAGAATAGACCGAGAGCAGCTTTGTGGAGACGTAACACCGTGCAGCTTCAGCTTTGAGGTGATTTTAGAAAATCCCATGGAATTACATCGTGTAACAGTGGAAATAATTGACATAAATGACAATTCTCCGACATTTAGGAATAACGAAATTAAATTGGAAATAAGTGAATCTGCCACACTGAGATCACGCTTTTTGTTAGCCAGTGCTGAAGACGCAGATGTAGGCAGTAACGGTCTACAAAAATACATACTAACTACGAATGACATATTTGTTTTGAAGCAGCACTCAAGTCCAGATGGTCGAAAATATGCCGAGATGATCTTACAAAAACCGTTAGATAGAGAAAGCGAGCCACGAATATCATTGAAGCTCATCGCTGTTGACGGTGGAACTCCCCCTCGATCTGGTACAGTAAATATAGATATTATTGTGCTTGATGCTAATGATAATCCTCCCATTTTTAACCAGTCTCTCTACAGGGCTACTGTCTTTGAAAAGGCATTAAAGGGCACATATATCACGACAGTGAATGCAAGTGATGCAGACAGTGGATCACATGGTCTTATCACATATAGATTTTCAAACATGAAAGAGCAGCTGGCTGACGTATTTCATTTGGACGATATTACGGGAACCATAACACTTTTAGGGCAAGTGGATTATGAAAAAGATAAGAAATATGAAATAATGATTGAAGCGATGGACCAAGGAGGTCTGACCGATTCAAGTAAGGTGTTAATTGAGATTGTAGACGTCAACGACAATGCGCCTGTCATAAATGTGATGTCATTCTCCAGCCCGGTGCCGGAGGATTCTCCCTCGGGTACCACAGTGGCAATTATTAATGTGATTGACGCAGACTCAGAGCAAAATGGCCAAATTGTTTGTTCAACAGACAGTAGCATCCCATTTAAAATAAAATCAACATTAACTAATTACTATGCATTAGTAACAGACTCAGCTTTTGATAGAGAAATTGTACCGGAATATAACATAACTATCAGGGCAACCGATTCTGGCTCGCCGTCATTGTCAAGCACAACAACATTACGTTTGAGAATATCTGATGTGAATGACAATGCCCCAGTATTTGATCAAATTAGCTACGTTGCTCACGTTCCAGAAAACAATTCCCCTGGGGAGTCCATATTTTCCGTCAAAGCACTGGACGGTGACTGGAATCAAAACGCTAGAATATCTTACTTTCTCGAAGAAACACAGATCAATGGCAGTCCGACCTCTTCTTACGTCTCCATAAATACTGCAACTGGAGCTATCCATGCAGTGAGGTCGTTTGATTATGAACAGATTAAACAACTCCAGCTGGTAGTAAAGGCACAGGATGGAGGCTCCCCTCCACTCAGTAGCAATGTGACTGTGAATGTAATGATCCAGGACCAGAACGACAACCCCCCTCAGGTTCTGTACCCAGTCCAGACTGGTGG